AAGGAAGGAAGGAAGGAAGGAAGGAAGGAAGGAAAGGAGGAAGGAAGGAAGGAAAGGAGGGTGGGAGGGAGGGAGGAAGGAAGATCTAGGTTCATGAAAGGTTTTTGAAAATAAAGGGACAAGGCTAGGCATTTGTAATTCTATGTACCATTTCACCTCCAAGCTAAGCATATTAGCTGGCTGAATAGCTCAATGGTTTAGATTTCAGGCTGTGGAGCTAGAGGTTTCAGAGTTCGATTCCTCACTGTGCCTCCTGCAAGTAGAGCCAGCCTGTGTGGCCTTGGGCAAGCTGCACAGCCCCAGGACACCTCCAGAAGAATAGAATGGGGAATCACCTCTGAGTACTCTCTACCTGGAATGCCATCAAAAAGAGTGGCCTTAACTCAGAACTGACTTGACAGCACATGATTTTTCTTATTAAGCAACTTTCCAAGCAATGGGTCATTTACAAACAATGGTTAATTTGCCCGGCAGTGGCCCATGTAATACAAACAACGTATGAAGACATGGGCACAGGCGTTATCGTGGGTGCCCCGTGTCCCACAACGTAGGGCACAATAGATAATGTCTATGTTCACTTCTCCACGTGTGGAGATCCGACCCCTAAAGTCCCGCCATTTGTGTCGCTCCTGTGAGTGTCACTAACAGGGCCAGGGTGGGTGCGATGGGACGAGAGAACCAAGAGGTGGCTGGAGAACTGGGCTGGGACCTGGAGCTCTGTCCTACTCCCCGGGTGACCTTGGCCCAGTCTGTTTTCCTCTGCCTAACCTTGTAAGGCTGTGGCGAGGACCCAAGAGGGAGGTGGGAGGGACACCGTCGTGAAGGAGAAGTAGGATATTCGTCAGCAGCACGGACATAATTTGTCTGCTTCATTTTCCCTCCCAGATCTTTAGGTACTTTCCTGAAAAGCTGAGGAGGCTGCTTTTCCCCGGCTCTCTCCCATCCCCAGAAAGTAGGGTGGCGAAACAGGGCTACAGTGCACTCAGAACCAGGCGGGGCTCAGAAGCCCACGCAAGGCCTACGGATATTCCCACGGCTGCCGCCACCTTGCCTTCCATTCAGGTGGCTTGTAGCTGAGTGAGGGGTTTGCCCCGATGGGGAGGCTGGGTCCTCTGGACCCCTTCCCCCCCACATTCATTATGCCAAGGGAGCCCAAGCATCCAGGTCTGGTACTCCATTCAGCACCATCTCCCGCCAGGAACGCAGTTCCAAGGGTGGCGGCTGCAGAAAAAAATGCTGGCTGAGGATAACAGAAGGCGGTGGCGTGTGGTGTTGGAGGTCTGACTCACTCTGGATTGTAGTTCCCATCATTCCTCACCATTGGCTAAGGTGCCTTGGTGGGACGGGCGTTGTTAATCCACCACGGCCTGGGAGGTCCCTGATTTACAACCTCTGGTCAGGACTAAAGAGCAAATAAGCAGGTATTTACGTATTTAGTCCCCTTGGAACCGAAGGGGGAGGGATGACCTAAGGCAGTGGTCCCCAACCTTTTCTGAGTCTCGGACCGGTTTTTTTGGGGGGGGGCGAGGTCTGTTTGCGGGGAGCCCCCCCCCGTGCTTGTGGGTGGGCCAGGAGCGCTCGCGGAGGGGAATGGCACACTCACGGGTGGGCAGGCCACCTGTGCGTGCAGGTGGCGGGCTCTCCGTGCAGGTAGGGTGGGTGCAGGGAGTGCTTGCAGGGAGTGGGGTGGGAGATCTGTCTCCGTAGTCTGGTCCTGCCATGGCTACAGACCAGCACTGGGCCGCAGACCGGGGTTTGGGGACCTCTGACCTAAGGCACCTATCCAAGAGAGCAGCCATCACACCCTCCCAATCATCCTACCCCACATTCCTTCCTCCCCAGTTCCAGCTCCCATCATCCTTACCGCCCCCGTCTTGCTGTTGTCTGTATTGCAGTCTGGAATGATTTTCGACAGCTGGACGATCCAGTTGTTGATCTTATCCCGCCTCCTCCGTTCAACTAGATAAAAGGGAGAAGACCCAGGTCAGACGTCCCGGCGCTTCATCGTGACTCTGTGGTGACGTCTGAAGACGACCTTCTACTGGGCTACTTGCCTTCTCCCGTCTTTTCAATGAGAGCTGCAGACGGGGCCTGTCTTACCTCCACATGGACATTACATGGCCACCTTTTAGCAGGGCCTTTTCGGGTCTGGCACCCTGCTATTCCCCTTTACTGCTCCCTCCCCCTCCCCAAAAATATGGAAGGTGCCAGTCTTTATGGTCTTTTGACATTTGTCAAAAACATGCTCACTTAACTTGGCATTTGCTGACTTTAATACTGACCTTAGCAAGATTCTACAGGCAGACCGGTGTTGGAGAAACAGTCAGTCTAATGCCCTATAGGCGCAGTGAGCTAGGCAATCTCCTGGCTGCAAGAAGCACCATCCAGCAATCCACTAAGTTGTTTGATGCATCAGGGCTTCCAGCAAAAGCCCCCTTTGAATAATAGTGGGGGAAAGAGTAACCACATGCACGACAGCCCATTGCACATGTGCACGGGGGGAAAAAAAAACAACACACCAAGATTTTGGGCTCATCTCACTGTCCACTGTGTGTCTTCAACTCCTATCTGATCTACTGTGAGCCTAGCAGGGTTTCCAAGGTATCTGAGATATTTAAAGAGTGCCCTTATCAGCACTCAGTGAGTTGGACATCTGTTTATTTGAGGATCCAGAGGCTGAGAGTTCAATTCTCTGTTCTGCATTTCAGGAGAGTCAGCCTGTGTGGCCTTGGGCAAGCTGCACAGTCCCAGGATGGTGGCCGCAGAAGGGAACGGTAAGCCACTCCTGAAAACCCTGAAAAAGGTTGCCATAAGCCAGACTTAATTTGAGAGCACCTCGTTGTTATTTATCAGGGCTACCTCGTAGTGCATTTCTAGGGCCAAGCAGAGATTTGGACCTGGGGTCTCCCGAGTACCAGCCTAATGCTCTGTTACATCACAGCAGCCCTCACATCACATCTCATTGATTAATGAAGTGTGTTATCAAATGTTTAAATCACTGATTCATAAATGAGTAAAATATCTATGCTTGCTGAGGCAGAGGTAGACTGAACCAAGTTTTCAAAATTAGCAATAGTGGATGGCTGCTTCCAAATGGCATGAATGCCCATTTAACCTTTAGTGTCTAAGGGGTGGGTGGGTGGACTTCTCACATACCAGACCTTCACATCCTATGTGGTCACATCAAGCAGAAAAAAAACAGATATTACATCAATTTAGTCCAGTTTAACTGTGGTTAAATGTTCCTGGACTACAACTTCCAATGTTTGAGATTTTGTATGTATAGAGTGCTAAATGAGTGCTGGAAAAGGTTTAGGTATCTGGCTGTGGAGCCAGAGGTTGGCAGTTCAATTCCACACTGTGAGTAGAGCCAGCCTGGGTGGCCTTGGGCCAGCTGCACAGTCCCAGGAGACCCCCCCAGAAGGAAATGGTACTTCTGAGTACTCTCTACCTGAAAAACCTTGGAAAAGGTTGACATAAAGTCAGAACTGACTTGAGGGCACACGATTATTATTACAGTGTTGCCTCGCAAGACGATTGCCTCGCGGGACGATTAATCCGCAAGACGATTAGTTTTTGCGATCGCTGTTGCGCTTCGCAAGACGATGGTTTCTTATGGACAATTTTCACAAGACGACGGTTTTTCCCCATTGGAACGCATTAAATGGATTTCAATGCATTCCAATGGGGAACCGCGTTTCGCAAGATGATGTTTTCGCAAGACAGCGATCTTCACGGAACGAATTAACATCGTCTTGCGAGGCACCACTGTATTAGAAAAAGCAAACCTGAAAGTGTACATAAGGGGTGCTTTACAAATGAGATCTCCCTGATCTATCTTGTGCAATTTGTTTTAGTTATGAAGTGGGATAAATGGCAGCTGTGATGAGCACAGGCACCTGATTTTTTCTGAAGACTCTTAAAGAGATGTTCAGGTGTCAGACTTTCTGACCTGACACCATCATCCCTCACCTTGGGCTATACAGCCCAAGTCTGATGGATGTGGCAGCATAAGAACATCTGGGGAGCCACACTTTACAAGCTAGCGGGGAGGTCGTGGTGCAGCTGGAATAAGAAGGCACCTTTGGAGTATGAAACAAGAAGTCATCCTGGAGACTTCTTTGGCCTAATGGTGGAAGTTCTCATGTTTGTGGGTCACCCAGACCAGCAGTCCCCAGCTGTTCTCGGACTAAAACTCCCAGAAACCTTCACCACTATCTGTGCTGGCCTGGATTTCTGGGAGTTGTAGTCCAAGAACATAAGGGTTACCCAAGGTTGGGAATCGCTAAGCTAGGTCATCAGTCTCCAGGGACAAACTCTTCTCTGCAAAGCTACGCAGGGCAAATCCCTGGAAGGAAGGTAAGCTGGGAGAATTTGGCCTTAGCAGCTTTCCAGAAGATGATGAAGCTGGTTGTCCCTGATCTTCTCGAAAGGGAAGACCATTAAAAAAAGATGGCCATGATGGAGGTGGTACATGCTGCTTAGTTCTTTCGCACACCTTCATTGTGCTGGGCTCTTCGCCTCTCGTCCCGCGGCGTCCGCGTCCCGTCCATTTTTCTAGGTTTGAATGGCAAACATAGGGAAGAATCAAAAGAGGGCCCTGGCAGTCTCATTCACATCCTTGATTGTGAATCACTCCCCAGTGCCATGCTTACACAACAACAGAAACACAACCGTGATTTCCAATCTTATCTGCTCCCCTGCCCTGGACCTAGATTTGTAGCGCCAGCTTTGTTCATCCCCGATTTAGGGTTACACTGAATGCTGGAGGCGTTCAAGAGAAAACTGGACAACGCTCTTGTCAGATCTGCTTAGATTTGGATTCCTGCACTGAGCACAGGGTTGGACTGGATAGCCTTAAGAGGCCCCTTCCAACTCCATGATTCTATCATTTCATGCTGAGCATTAGTCTATAACGCAGACCTGGGTAAAGTGCAGCCCGAGGGCCACGTACAGCCCGCGAGCCGCTCCTGTCTGGCCCGCAAACAGTTTTGAACATCAAAAACCATTTATAGCTTTTAGTCTAAAGTTGATCAGTTGCTTATCTTTAACATACTGCAAAAAAACTCTTTAGTATTTGTGAAGATTAACAAGTTCAAAATAAAAACAATCATAACAACACTGTTTCATTTTATTTTTAAATAAAGTTGGTTCAGCCCCCAAACACAGTTCAGATTTTTTATGTGGTCCCCTATAGAAATTAATTGTCCACCCCTGCTATAACAGCTTCATTTACTCTTTGCTCCATTTTCAATTTGCTCCATCTGCTAGGGGCATCCACAGCTGATCTTCCCATCCCAACCTCCTCTGGTTTGCTGGGTGCCATTTTGAAACCCCCATGACCAAATCCAGGGGTATAACCACACGAGCCAGCCTGATCCTTTCTCCAAGGCCTTCCTGAGCCCATACGTACGGGGAATAAGGGTGGGTCCGAGGGGCGATCGTCCGTTGCGTTCCAGTCTGCAACACGTCCTGCGGGGTCATCATTACGTAGAATTGGCCTATGGGGAGCAAGATAATGAAGAAATGAATCTGCTACCAGCAGGGACCAGCAATAAAATGCTGGAGTTCAGAATGCTTCTGATCGGGAATATAACCAATGTGGTATACCAGATTCAGACAATATCCCAAACTCCAAACTTCAGTGGCCAAATTTAGTTTTACCTTTGCACTATCTGAATGGGTGCATAATTGTCATATTAGGTTTTGAGGCAAAGAGAATTGAATTTATAAGTTGACTCAGATACAAGCCACAAACAGAACGGGATGGAACATAAATCAGTTTTGCCTACTAGTATGAATAATAATTACACAAGTTTTCACTCTTGGAGAGAAACCAAGGGGGCCCCTGAACCTCTTTTCTCCTCACCATGAGTTTATATTATTCGTATTCGTATTCGTATTGTTGTTGTTGTTGTTGTTGTTGTCGTTGTTGTCGTCGTTGTTGTTTCTTTGTTTTGTGGCCAATTTTTAATCCGGGAAAAATGCTGAGTGGCACGGGATTACAGTGGTGGCTCGCTTAACGATTGCCTCGTTAAACAATGAAACCGTTATATGAAGTTTTTGCGTTCGCTTTTGCAAGCGCAAAACGATGTTCCTATGGGGAAAATTCACTTAACAATGATCGGTTCCCTGCTTCGGGAACTGATTTTTTGCTAAACGACGATTTAGAAACAGCTGATCGGCGGTTCTAAAATGGCCGCCGCTGTGCAAAATGGCTTCCCGCTGTGTTTTCAGGACGGATTCCCCGCTTTACAGGCAGCGAAAATGGCGGCCCCTATGGAGGATCTTTGCTGGACGGTGAGTTCCCAGCCCACTGGAATGCATTGAACCGGTTTCAATGCATTTCAATGGGCTTTTTCATTTCACAAGACAATGTTTTCGTAAGACAGCGATTTTCGCGGAACGAATTAACATTGTCTTGCGAGGCACCACTGTATTACAATTCCTGTGCAGAATTCCTACTGACTGGCATCTTTCCTGTGGAGGATTCACCTGGAAAAGTTTTCGAACTGTGTAGGATTCGACTATTCAGGGGGGAGGTTGGGAGAGTTGCAAAGGACAGTAGGTTTTGGGGGGTTCAGAATTACTTTGGCCTCCTCTCTTCTTTCAAAAAAAAACCCCCACACATTTTAAGGTACCTAGTACACAAACCATGGAAACAAGCTGACTGGAAACTGACAGCTTTGATTCTCTCTTTAGGGTTTATCACAACTCCAAATTTCCTCCACATCACTGCAAAAATGAAAAAGTTACATCCGTTTTCGGTTTCTAATGCACCAATTTTACAAACTGAAAAATCAATCAGGGGCATCAATCAAATTGGACGGGGCACAAATTCTGCTCAAGCAATGTGGGATATTTTCTGAAGCTTCAAGTTGGCCTCCAAACCCCTTCCATAGCAAATGAGGAAAAATACATTTGTACACAATTCATTTTCCAGGTTATATGGCAATGCTTCTGGGTCATGTCAACCTGCCCCCCGAACTCATTTAGATTAGCAATCAGGTTGCCCCCATGATCTTATATTTTAAGTTCCACTTTACAACACATCCATTTCTACTTCTTCAGCAAGGAAGACTGAAGGGAGATATGACAACACTTATGGAGGGAGGGCTGGATCCATCATCCTGGAGTGCAGGACACATAATACTGGGCTCAAGTTACAGGAATCTGGATTTTGCCTGAATATCAAAAAAACCCTCAACTGTTAGAGCAGTATGACAATGGAACCAACTACCCCAGGAGATGGCGAGCACTCCAACACTGGAGGCATTCAAGAGAAAACTGGACAACCGTTATGTCCGATATGATTTAGATTCCTATAATGAGCAGGGGGTTGGATTCAACAGCTTTCCAACTCCGTTATTCTATCATTCTTCATGCTTCTAGGGAACAAGCGCTTGATTCATCTAGCTTGCTGCTCGCTTCTACAGTGGTGCCTCACCTAACGATGATAATCCGTTCCATGAAAATCGCCGTTAAGCGAAAACATCGTAAAGCGAAAATAAAAACCCCACTGAAACGCACTGAAACCCATTCAATGCATTCCAATGGGGTAAAAACTCACCGTCCAGTGAAGATCCTCCATACGGCAGCCATTTTCGCTGCCTGTATAGCGAGGAATCCGTCCCTAAACACAGCGGGGAGTCATTTTAAGCACCCAGCAGCCATTTTGAAATCACCACTCAGCTGTTCAAAAAACGTCATTTTGCGAAGAATCGGTTCCTGAAGCAGGGAACCGATCATTGCAAAGCAAAATTCCCCCATTCAGACCATTGTTTTGCAATCGCAGTTGCGACTGCAAAAAGATTGTCCATTGCAAAGCGAAATTCCCCCATTCAGACCGTTGTTTTGCGATCGCAGTTGCGATTGTAGGAAAAGATCATCGTTAAGAGGATTTGTCGTAATGCGGGGCAATCGTAAAGCGAGGCACCACTGTATTGCTTTTATGGTATTTGAGCAGGAGGTGGACAGCTACAGCTGTTCCTCCTTGCCTTAGAAGGCCCTTGCTTTTCCTACCTCCAGCCTGTGTGAGCGACTGATCCGTTGTCTGCACCGACACTGCCGTGGCATCCCCCACCGTCGAGGCAGGGAAGTAGGCAAAACGTGCCTCCCCGCTGACGGCGTCCGTGGCTGGGCTCCCGCCATTGCTGAACGGATTCTGGATCACAGCCTGTGGCCAGCGGAACGACACAAAGGAAACAAAAGAGGACCAAGTTATTCACTCTCCATTTCCGATTCTATTCCCGGGTCCAGGAAAGGATTGGAGCTTTCACAAATGAGAGGAAAGCAAAGATCCATGGTGGGATAAACTGTGCGTGTGTGTGGGGGGGGGAAGGAAACACAGGGGTAAGGTGGGACGGTTTGGCCACGACGTCCCTGGATGCTTCTAAAAACAGGAGCCCCAGCTGGTGTCTTGGGATTTCAAAACTGAAACTCATTTAAACACATCCTACTGGCCCTTCTCATCTCCTTGATCCTGCATCGAGACTTTTTTTCCCCCTACACCGGATCTGGGTGAAGTAACTAACACTGTTGTCTCAACACAAGGATGACTCCTCCTTCTCAATGCTAAACAAGCACCAAAAGCAAACCATGTAATTCAAGAACACATTTTTCAACCTTGATTTTCCAACTGTCCAGGAGGAGGGCAGGGCAGGTGGCGCCAAACAGATATTTGCAAAGAGGGTTGGAGAACTTCTCACCTTCCAGAGATTCTGGGCTAAAGCACTCGGAATCCTTTACCGTTGCTCCTGGGGGGTCATGCCGTTTGGGAACTGAAATCCAAGACACTCAAGAGGGGCAAAGCGCATCCTCTTCCTGCTTTCAAAGAGTAAGCAATTTCTTTGGGTCCTGTGCCAGACTGAGCAGACTGGCACGTACGTTGGTAAACCACAAAGCTCTTTTTTACAGCGTAGCTCTTGTACGTCTGGCATGTCAGTTTCCTTTTCAGGAAAATGGTTTCTTATCTTGAAACCAGAGGCCAAAGTCCAAGTGGATTTAACTTTATTCTCATGCACCAACACAGCTACCTCTATGTTAGTCAACACTTGAAAACTCACTAAGGGAAGATGATCCAAGTGATCCAACAGGAGAAATCATCATCATGATGTGCTGTCAAGCCAGTTCTCACTGATGATGACCCTTTCCAGGATTTTTCAGGTAGAGACAGCTCAGAAGTGGTTCACTAGCTCCACAGCTTGTTATCTAAACCACTGAGCTATCCAGTCGGCTAACAGGAGAAAGTGGAATTTAAAACGTCATAGCTCGTGATGCTGATCTTAAGATTCTGCTAAACCTCACCTGACGGTTTCATATGTTAAGACCAAACCTCCGTACTTTTGACTAATTGCTGTGCAAGTACTGTATCTTGTTTCAAGTGCACCCTGCCCTCTAGTGTTTAAGAGACGGAAGTCCTTCTGAAACATAAATACTGACTGTTCTACAGTGGTGCCCCGCATAGCGACATTAATCCGTTCCAGGAAAAACGTCGCTATCCGGAAACGTTGCTATGCCGGGGGAAAGCCCGATAGGAACACATTAAACTCCATTTAATGCGTTCCTATGGGGACAAAACTCACCGGTAAGAGAAGATTCCCAATCCAGCTGCCATTTTCGCCGCCTCGGTAAGCGAGGGCAATGGAGCGGGTGGCCATTTTCTTCTTCTGGCAGCCATTTTGGAACCGTCGATCAGCTGTTCTGCAGACATTGCAATGCAAAGATCGGTAAGCGAAACGCTTACCGATCATCGCAATGCGATGTTTTGCCACCTAAAACATCGCAATGCGATCGCTATGCGGATTCGGCGTTAAACGGTGCGCTCGTTAAGCAAGGCACCACTGTACTTCTTTTGCACCCGATTCCTGCTGACAAATCTTGGGCATCTGGCAAATACAAAGGGGATCTTGCAAACCAGCAACCACATGCCAGAACTGTTCCCCCACCCACCCAAATTGAGTTATCTACCTTCTAAAGCAAAAGTTCCCAACCTTCGGTAACCCAGGTATTCCTGAACTGCAATTCTCAGAATCCTGGTCAGCACAGCTGGTGGTGAAGGCTTCTGGGAATTGCACTCCATGAATATACCTGGATTATCCAATCTTTCTAAAGGGCTAGATATCTGTGCTTCTGGACCCGCATAGAAGCGTAGCGTACTAGGCTTGTAGAGCCAGCTAGCAAATTGTTCTTGGCTGGCTAGTCACCTTTACATTGCAAATACAGTGGACCCTCGACTTACAGACTTTTCAAGTTACAGACTTCTCTGGCTGCAAAATTTAGGTTCGACTTGCAGCCGGAGAATCGACCTACAGACCAGAAAAAAACCAAAATGGAACAAAACCGGCCGGTTACGGATTAATCGGTTTTCAATGCATTGTAGGTCAATGGAGACTCGACCTACAGACTTTTCGATCTACAGCCACCATTCCAATACGGATTAAGTAGAGGGTCCATTGTACCATTCTTGAAGGCAGATTGGAAGGTTATTCCTGGGATCCTTATTTTCTTCCTTCTTCAAATGAATGGGAGGAAGACAGCCCCTTTCATAGGACCTCAGAGGTTTGAGAATGGAGAATGGGGTGGGAAGGGGAAGAGAACACGTGGGAAGAATAAGCTTATGAAGATCAATGTGGGTTCCAGCAAGCTGGCCACCACATTCTGGCTGGCAATGTCCACCAACTGGGACACGGCTGATCCCAACATGCTCATTTTGCAGGCAGCTGAATCCGTGGCTTCTGGGTGAAAAGGAAGACGAGGCGTGCCGCATTTTGCAATGGGTGAAGGCTCTCATAGAATCCGTGGCTTCTGGGTGAAAAGGAAGATGAGGCATGCCGCATTTTGCAACAGGTGAAGGCATGATGCATTCAGGGTCCACATCTACCCTGCATCAGGCAGCTGCATACCCAAATGGCGACATTATCACTCGCTGCTCATCTGAGCCCAAAGCTTTCAAAAAACCGAAGTGCGCCTCTTTCTCACCTCTGACTTAAAGACCGGAGACGTGCTTTGTATTTTTGACACTGAAAACTGTTTACTCAACACATTTTTTTAAAGAAGGAAAAGGAAGTATCAGCTGTCTACAGATATCAACCTCTGATTTTTTTTTCTGAGTTGGTCATTTCCTGACATGAAACCTCAGAATAGAGTCTTCCTTATAGGGCTGCTTCAAGGCATTTTGCTGCCTGAAGAAGCCTCACCACCACTTAGATGCTGGTTTAGACTCAGCCTTCTTGGCTTCTTAGGGAATTCTCCAACACCCGCCTCTCACTGGGAGATCTTGGCTCTAGCAGGAGACGGAGACACCGTTTTTCTCCCCTTGTTACTGTTCTTCCAATTTGCATGGAAGATCATTTGCACATCCCTCCTGTCTCTGAGCAACGCTAGTGATTTTTCCTTATGTAAAGCTAGGCACGCACATCGCGCAAGGAGAGCAAGGCAATAAACATCCAATGTTTCTAGAATTAGCAGTTCATGTAAGAAGGCAGCACCTCTTGCATTTTCTAACATGGTGCAGTTTACAGAACTGAACCCAATGCTTCCGTGGACGTGAGCATTTTCTCCAAACTGACCCCCTGCCTGAAAGAACCCACCGTCTCCGAGGAAGCCCACGCACCTTGGAAGTTTCCCAGGCATTCGGCAAGAACAAAGTAAGTCAAGATCTACGTTGCTGGCCTGAAGCACAAGTCAAAATGTCAATTCCAGAAGAGCCAAACATTATACTCAACACTGCTAATGGGACAAAGTATTCCACCACATCTGAGAAATTTAGGGGGTGAAGGACAGACGATGGGGTACAAACAGTTCTTGCCGAGGATGGCTGAAATCCAATTGACCTTGCCTAAGGTTAAGACTGTGGACGTTCACTCGGGCAGCCCGTATCAGGCTATGCAACTCGGCTGGGTGCCTATTTTCCGAAGGCTTGCACAACTTCCAAGTTATGCAGGCACAGCTATGCAACAGGATTCTGGCCAATGTCTGGAAATTCAGATCCACTCGCCCCCCCCACACACACCAGGATCTGCCATCTGAACATTCCTGTACCTAACAGGAACACTGATCCTGCCTATTTAGATTAGCAATTTTACAAAAAGGAGCACAGGGTATCCATCTCTCTATTTATTGGGTGAAAAACGATGTACACAGTCAAAAGTATGAACAGGATTCAGATCTGAGCCACAGTGTTAGAGAAGTTTTAAATTCTTTCTCCAGTGTCCCACTGGAGTTCCTTCAGTTTTTGTCTTTCTCCTGCCTGCTCGAAGGTAAGCTTCTCAAGCAGAAATGACGGCGTGGGGAAAAGAACGTGGGGAAACCCCAGAGAAAGAGCTCATCTTTTCATCTTAAAACAAAAAAAGGGAAAGGGAAAAAAATGGACAAAGTAAAAGCACTAACTTTGCCTGCCAAAGAAAGAAGAGGTGAGAAGATGCATAACGGAACACAGGTCTAAACAGGTCACATTATTCTAGATGTTGGGACCTTTTTTGGAATAGTTTCTAGAATTCTCAAGTTAACAGAGCCTGTGGCTGGAGATTGTGGGACTTGTAACAAAAAACAAACAAACACAAAGGATCCCAAGATCTAGAACAACCTGGGATATGCCAAGAACTGTTGAACTTTACATCTTCGAGTAACCTTCCACCTTGCTATAAACTTCCTTCACACAGGTACAAACCTGCTGAAGTGGCTTTTGGTGCACAAAAGCTTGTGTATTGTATGACATTTTTAGTGATCTCTAAAGATGTTCTGCACTGAGATCTTCAGCAATGGGACATGGTGGCACTGCGGGTTAACTGCAGAAACCTCTGCGATGGAAGGTTGGAAGACCAGCCGTCGTAAGATCGGACCCATGCGACGGAGTGAGCTCCCATTGCTTGTCCCAGCTCCTGCCAACCTAGCAGTTCGAAAGCGTGTAAATGCGAGTAGATAAATAGGTACCACCACAGTGGGAAGGTCACGGCGTTCTGTGTCTAGTCGCGCTGGCCACGTGACCACGGAAACTGTCTAGAGACAACCTGCTGGCTCTACGGCTTAGAAACAGGGATGAGCACCGCCCCCTAGAGTCAGACACGACTGGACTAAATGTCAAGGGGAACCTTTATCTTTATATATTTAGCAATGCTTCCTGATTCCGCTTCATTCTGAAGCCTTTTGACCCATCTCGTTGTGGCTTTTTAAAGTTACCTAAGCTGCCTAATCCGAGACTGTTATTTCGCTGTTCCAACATGACGGCTGTTTTTCCAAACCGTATTTTATTTTAGCGCTGCTTTTAATGTGTTTATCGTTTTGCATGGTGGCGGGTGAGATTTCACAACTGGAAGCCGCCTGGAAGATGCGCCGTGACCAGAAAGGTGGGATGGAGATTGCTAAATGCAAAGAAGGAAACGCCAAGCAAACCTCCTGCTGGTCTATGGGGGTGGGAGGGCGTCCTAACTTTTCCCTCACCTGAGCAACAGCTTGTTGGCCACTGGTGAAGGCTGCCGTGGAGACCACGCTGACTGCCCCTGTTGCGTCTGTTTGTCCATCCAGCTGACTGTCTGTCACCTGAACGACTCTGTATGTCACCTAGAAGAGAAAGCAAAAAAAGACTCAGTCCTCCCATGATTTACTACCGGAGGGAAAACGGTGGTCTTGTCTTACGGAGAGCCTACGTTAAAGGCAGTAAAAACCACTCAGCCAACAGTTTGAAATGAGGGCCCTCATCTAAATGTAATCTAGGAAGCAGCAGCTACTGCCCTGTCTAATCCAAAAATTACTGTATTTTTCTGTTTATAAGACTATATACAGTGGTGCCTCGCAAGACAAATGCCTCGCAGGACAAATGGTTTTGGCAATGGGTGTGTGTGTGTCTGGGGTGTGTGTGAATTGATGACTCACAAGACAAATGTTCCTATGGCCGTGCTTCGCAAGACAAACATTTTCAATTTTTTGTTCCTGCCTCATGTTCGCTGATTTTCAAATGTTTTTCTATGATGTTTAAAAAGTTTTTTGATTGAAATTTTTTTTAATCATCTGCACAATACTTATAGCTTTAAAGAGCACTTAATAAACCCTTTGTTTTGACTTTTTTTGCCCATAGGAACACATTAATTAGGTTTCAATGCATTCCTATGGAAAAACACGTTTCGCAAGATGAATTTTTCGCAAGACAACATTAACCGTGGAACGAATTAAATTCGTCTTGCGAGGCACCACTGTACTTTTGTCTAAAATCTTTAGACTAAAAATTGAGGTCTTCTTATACACGGAAGTAAGATGAGGAAAGAACAAAATACGTGGAGGGGAAAGCAGGGATCAAAGTGATCTTGCAAGGCTTTGATCCCTGATTTCCCCTCCACTTGCTGAGCCCCACTTAGATTTCTTAATTTTGGGTTAGAAAAGTAGGGGGGGGCGTCTTATACATGGAAAAATACAGTAGTAGTCATTGACCTGGAGCCAAAAACGGACATTTTCTGCATGCATAATACAGACCACCACACCTACCAGCGGCTTGGCCGAGAACTTGGGTGATTTCATATATGTTCAGAAACCAACGAGAAGCATTTTAAAAAACTGCAGGGTGGTAAAAGCTGTAAGACCCAAAACCGCAGGAAAGAGTAGGGCTACACCTCTGGCACCATCTCATGGTACCGTTTCCTTGCAGATTATCATTGCAAAAATAAGCACTTCTATTCACAAGGTGATACTGACTCCTTTTTTTCAGCAGTGAGCCGCTCCTCGCTCAACACAAAGCAATGGTCAGGAGAATTTTATCAACAAGTGTGAATGGTAGTGAGCAGAAGAAGGTATCTCGTAGACCACCTTGACCAGCGGTGTTCTCAATATTCACGCTGCCCTTTGCTATGTAAAGATTAGCATGCAACGTGGGTACGATATTGTGAAGCAATATCGGGCCATTTCCTGGAATTTTAAATTGTGGATATAGAAGGACATTATTATTATTATTATTATTATTATTATTATTATTATTATTAACTGGATTTATACCCCACACCCTCTGCCAATCAGGCCACTCTGGGCGACTAATAACAAAATAAACTAGCACAATATCAAAGACAGGATAAAACAAATACAGTCGTGCCCTGCTTAATGATTACCCCGTATAATGTCGAATCCACTTCACGACGATGTTTTTGCGATCGCAATTGCGATAGAAAAATGATGGTTTGAATGGGGTTTTTCCACTTTGCGATGATTGGTTCCCTGCTTCAGGAACCGATTCTTCGCATTACGACGATCAAAACAGCTAATCGTCGGGTTTTCAAAATGGCCACCAGCTGCTCAAAATGGCTACCCGCTGTTTTTAGGAGCCATTTTTCACAAGACAGGCACCCGAAAATGGCCGCCCTATGGAGGATCTTCACTGGATGGGGAGTTATTCAGCCCATTGGAACACATTAACCGGTTTTTAATGCGTTTCAATGGGTTTTTTTATTTTGTTTGACATTTTCGCTCTACAGCAATTTCGCTGGAACAAATTAATGTCGTCAAGCGAGGCACCACTGTAAAATAATACATATGTTCAACAAATAGAATAACCAGCAGAATAAATTAAAACAGATGGCAGTGAAGGTGGTAAAAAAGGATGATGAAAAGGGAGGCAAAAAAGATGGTAAAAAAGGGAGGCTGAGATCTCAAAAACCTACTACTCAGAGAAAGCCTGGCGGAAAAAAAGGGAGGCTGAGATCTCAAAAACCTACTACTCAGGGAAAGTCTGGTGGAAGAGCCAAGTCTTTAATGCTTGTTTGAACTCATCCAGGGAGGGTGCCAGGCGGATCTCCATGGGCAGGTTGTTCCCAGGCAGGGGGGAGACCGCCAAGAAAGCCCAGTTTCTTGTTCTTTACCTCTGAGTCTCCCACGTTGTTAAACAGGAGGGGTGGCTGAGATCTCAAAAACCTACTACTCAGGGAAAGTCTGGTGGAAGAGCCAAGTCTTTAATGCTTGTTTGAACTCATCCAGGGAGGGTGCCAGGCGGATCTCCATGGGCAGGTTGTTCCCAGGCAGGGGGGAGACCGCCAAGAAAGCCCAGTTTCTTGTTCTTTACCTCTGAGTCTCCCACGTTGTTAAACAGGAGGGGTTTTTTTTATTAATTGAATTGCAGCATTGGTGGTTTCTTAATCGCTGACTGTTCCCTTCTGCACAAATTATCTCTTCCTTGACAAGCTATTACTTGTCAAGCTTCTATGGAATGATGTGAATTGGTGAAAACTCTACTGCCTGCAATTTAAGGTCCAGCTGAAACATCTCTCTCTGAAAGGTTCTTTCTCCTTAGACTTTCGAGTTTTCAGGAGTATGCTGAGTCATTCAACATTGAATCATTTGATTGGAAGCAAGATAGAACAAAACACTGGACCGTCGGTGACTTATATCCCCCTTCTCTCATATTCTAAAATCAAATGACTTCTACTTGAACAAGCAGGAGATACGTTGCCGCCGGGGGACCACCTGCAGTCCCAGAACCCCAAATGGAATTTGGAAGAGAAAATTTGCCCCACAATGCCACCCCCTGGTGATCTCTAGGGGATGAAATGGATAATTTTGGTAGCTGCATCCTAGACTCTCTACACCAGGGGTCCCCAACCCCCGGTCTGCAGCCTGGTGCTGGGCCGTGAGCTTCCTTGAACTGGGCCACAGACATGGATCTCTGCCACCCATGCCCACATGTAAGCATGACACAGCCACCCGCGAGCGCAACACACCCACCTGTGAGTGTAGGGGTGCTCCCACCTTCCCCGTGCACAGGAAATGGATAATTTTGGTAGCTGCATCCTAGGTTCTCTACACCAGGGGTCCCCAACCCCTGATGTGAGGCCTGGTGCTGGTCCGTGGGCTTCCTTGAATTGGGCCACAAACATGGATCTCCGTCACCCATGCCAGCATGACACAGCCACCCACGAGCGCAACACGCCTACCCGTGAGTGCAGGGGTGCTCCCACCATCCCCGCGCACAGAGCCCACACCCCCTAACCGGTCCACAGTCTGAAAAAGTTTGGGGACTGCTACTGTACACCATCCATATTTTAGATTTTTTAAAATTTTAAATCCAGCCACTAGAGGGAGCAATGGGCATCGTTTAAAAAAAAAAGCTGCTTTTGTAAAAAAAATATTTTGGAGTGGGATTGTGGGAGCACTGAAGCTCTCTGAGGTCAAAGGTGAGATTGCAGACCTCCCCCCCCAAAGACTATGGATGTGTCCACCCCAGCTCTACCATCCGGGCTTTATTGGAAGCATCTGCAAGAAAAGCCAAGCTGTCAAGATGCATCGTTACCTGTCCTCCATTGTTCTCTGTGCGGAACTGGTACTGGATGTTATGATCTGTGAAGGCCGCCTGCTGGACACTGGCGATGGCCACGGCCGTCTGCTCGTCTGCATTTGTGCCATCTACTGGGGCAGAAAAGAAACCTGTGGCAGTAAAAATGTAAACTTCAGGGGGTCCAGGGGGCATTTGTGACCGAGCCCTTTTTTTCCAAAACCCTGACACTCTCCTGTCAAGAACCATAGCCCTGGTTAACGCAAAGAAAGTAAACAAGACAAGACAGAAAGCTACAACTCTTCTAGATAGACCACCACCGCTCTTTCCATCCAAATCATCTGGGCAGGAGACTCCCAGGTCTTGCAAAGACACCCCTAAGAGTCTTGGAAAAGCAGGGGCCGCAGACTGAACGTTGAGCGAAACTCTACCGATAGACAGTAACAACGAGCGGAACAGGCGGATGCCGGTGGCAAAGACTTTTATGAATGATGCCCAGAAGATACATAACCTGCAGAGATGTATTTTCATTCGCAAAGGTTATTTTTAAGAAGGGCCAGAGGACCTACCTGTTTCAAGCAAAACCAAGACATCGGTCTGACCTGGTTATATGAGAAGGTGAGAACCATGGGCAAAAGTCTTGGGATACAAAAAAAAGGTAGCAGAAAGAAAGCCAAGGGAAAAACCATAAAAGCCAAAAGCTTCTACGGGGACCAACATCCAACACCAACTGCAAGACACCAACTGGAAGCCATCAAGGCCAGAAGTTTCTAGCCGCTTGGCATACATGCCAGTTTCCACGCCAACCCAGAGGGGAAAGCCAACATCAGTCTAATTAGTACTGTTAACCTTCTAAAACTGAAGGCCTTCAAGGCGATAGCATGCTCTCAATATACAGCTTCCTTTAAGAGACACAAAACGAAATCTTTCTATAAGGCGGAAGACAGCAGGAAAAGAGGAAGACGCAATACGAGGTGGACCGACTCCCTGAAGGAAGCCACAGGCTTGAGTTTACAAGAGCTGAGAAGGGCGCTCGTTCATAGGATCAGAGGCAACTTGACAGTACATCACAACAAGCAATAATATACCCCAAACAACTTTGTTCTCCGTAACCTAAAAATGGGCAACTGTACCACTCGGGAGTCAGAGAAGAGCAACGGGGCATCTAAAGGCCAGTTGTGCCCACCCAGCCTGTTTTAAGTCTCATATAATGTGTCTTTAAAAAAAAAAAAAAAAAGGAATGATGGTGAAATGGCTTGTTAACGCTTGGGGATGCCCCACCCTCTGGGAGCGTCAAGATGCTTGCAACTGGCTGCTTTTACCCCAATTCTTCTCCCCCCCAACATTTGGGCCACGGTACCTCGTTCTGCCCACTTCTCAACAAAGGGCAGGCCAATGGGACATCAGGGGGAAAGCGGGCTTGGCAGAAGGCACTAAACCCATTTCCTTGTGATAAAAGAGGCAAGGGAAGAGACGTTACTTGGAAACACCACCATGGACAACCTGGTGGGAAAGGAGATGCGTGTAGAGGATGAAGTGGGGAATCTGTGCTCCCAAACCTTGCTGGACTACAACCTCCATCACCCCTGGGCATCAGTTCTGGCAGCAGGGAATGCTAAGATTTGGAATCCAACCCCATACAGAGAGCCACAAGCTCCCCACTTCTGACACAGCAAATTAACTAATGCCCAATTTTGGGGGTAGGAGTGTGTGGCTCCCCAGATGCCGGAGCATCCCTCACCATTGGCAGGAACTGCACTTCAGCCATGTTCACAGAGCCACCTTTTCAAAACCTTGGCCTAGAGCAGAGGTCGTCAACCACCGGTCCGCAGCCCGGTGCCGGGCTGAACCGGGCCATGAAGACAGACCTCCTGCCCCCACCACATACACTCCCCTCCCCACAGCTGCTTTGAGCATGTGCGTGTACCAGCGCTGGTGTGAGCACTCCCCCACCCCTTCATGCATGTGCCTGCACAAGGGGGTGGGCGGGCACACAGGTGTTCCTGAGCATGCGCGAATGGGTGGGGCAGTGCTCACACCGGTGCTGTTGGGCATATGCGCGCTCCCCCACTGCTTCACGCATGCGCCTGACAGTGCGCATGCACCTGTGCATATGAGGGGTGGTGGTGTCCCGCCTCCTTCAGAGGCTCAGCCGGTCCATGGTCCCAAAAAGGTTAGGTGGCCTAGAGCAGTGGTCCCCAACCTTGAGCCTCAAGGTGTTCTTGGACTACAACTCCCAGAAGTCTTCACTACCACCTCTGCTGGCCAAGATTTCTGAGAGTTGAACTCCAAGAACATCTGGAAGCCCAAGGTTGGAGACCACTGGCCTAGAGGATCCCTGACATAGAGACAGGCATCAGTTGAAGCAGTGTGGTGTAGTGATTACAGTGTTTGTCTGGGAGTTCTGG